TTTTTTATGCAATTGTAAATGGGATTGTTTTCTTACTCTTTTTGATAGGTTGCTATTGGTGTATAAATATGCAACCAATTTCTAAATATTAATTTTGTATCTTGCTACTTTACTGAATTTATCAGTTCTAATAGGCTTTTTATGAATCTTTAGGGTTCTCTCTATATAATATCATGTCATCTGCAAATAATGACAGCTTTACTTCTTCCTTTCTAATGTGGATACCTTTTATTTATTTTTTCTATGTCTAATTGCTGTGGCTAGGACTTCCCTTGACATTCTTTTTAGTCACTCTTCACTTTTAAACTTTTCTTGGATGACATTACCATGACACGCATATTTCCAAAATGAGCCACGCTGTTATGCTATTAAAAAATAAGAAACCTTTTTTTGTAATATACTTATCAGGAATTCTCATCCTATCTAAATGCTCTAGATATAATCCCTGCAACAGGTATCTTAAGAAACACTGCTAGTGCTGTAAATAATACAGTGGCTGCCACTTGAAGGATTTCTGGGATTAAATTCATTTTGTTTTTAGTTCTTTCACGCTCTTCTTTTAGTTGATTTATCTCTTTTGCCATCTCCTCAGATTCCTTCTTAAATCCTTCAACAAGTAGTTCCTTTTTGACCTGTAGAAAAGAGAGTGTTTCCTTTTGAAAATCTCCAATTATCAAAACTTGATATTTAACAAATGCAAGTAAGCACATGTTCTATTTCTCTACTAACTTAGGTACTCTTTGACGAGTGTGTCCAATATTTCCAAACATTTGGACCTGGTGGTGGGAGTATCCATGGTTCACACCTTTCTGTGATTGCTTAGCACCATCTCGCTGAGGGTGGGAAGGAGTTGGAGCTGGGTGGGGCCTGACAACCATCTCAAGAAAGTGTCCCAGTCCTAAGGATGCTCTTTGGGTAGGATGCAGGTTTAATTCTAATTATTTCTTGGTTTGTCTAAAGTAGGATGAGCACACATGTAACAAATAATGGGAATTGCTAATTCTATATAGAACATTGGCTACCAAACACTAGGTTGGGACAAAGTACACACTGCACTCTCTGTGTATAGAATGAGTCAGGCAGATCTGGACATAAATCCAGCAAATTTTACAGCATTTAGCATCCTATATTTCATATCAGGCAGAATCTTATACTTTCAGACTAGGTGGATCTACATGAAGCCTCTTTGGTGGTTGTACAAAGCATCCTAAGGACTATAGGACTAAGATCCTATTCACTTGGGGGCACAGTGATACTCTATAATCATTACAAACAGTACTCCAGTAGCCTGAAGCATGTTATTTGTACCCTGCAAACTCTAATACTACAGAAGGTGTGAGTCTTACAGATTTAGGGCTGAGAAATGATCCAGATTAATTTGACATTTCATTGAATCAATATGCCATTGGATTTCTTTCAGGGTATATGACAGTTAAAATTTTTGTTCTTCTCTTCTTGAGGAAACAGGGTACTGTCCTTTATTCACTGACCAGGCCCCACCCAGACTTACCTCGTGCTTGTGCTCCAGCATTGTTTCCAGCTCTCTCAGTTTGTTTTCTGTGTCTCTCTCCATCTTCTTCTCCAGTTGGGCCAGGTGTTCTTTGAAAGATTTCTCTTGATCCTCCATCTCTTTCTTCAGTTCCTTCTCTTTCTGTCTTTGCAGCTCCAGTTCCTTCTCAGCTGCCAACTTCTTTGCACGCTCAGCTGTTCCCCAAGGGTTTTACAGAGGAAAGAAAGTAACAGTTATGCTGAGCTGTATCCTCCTGAGTTCAGAGACTAAAATAATATTTAAATGGTGGGGAGAAATCTCTGAATATTCTT